AGTTCGCTGACTGGACCGTCAGATTACACATAGACGGCGACATCATAGACGTTTGTCGCTATTTTCGGTTATACTTGTCTCTTGTTGCAACTAAGACATATCACCATTTGCGGGCGCGGCGTCGCACGCGACACCCACCACCGCTGCGAATCACGATTGTCTTGTCACAACCCTTTCTGACTGTTATGGTGGTATAAGTTTATCGCAATCACGGGTCACCAACATTGTGTAAAGCGCAACAGGGAGTTGTACCTGTGGTTAGTAGGAGGAGCGAAAGGTCTTACCTGGCCTCTAGAATGTTCTTTATTGCTGATTTTTCCTCTTTCAAGTGCACCGTATCCCCTATCCCCTTCAATCCCGGCTTACCTGCCAAATTTTAGGAAAATCTGCTTGAATTCTGCAAAAGCCCTGTAAGGTAACTAGGGCGCTTACGGTCGTAACAGGAATGTCTTAAAGAGGTGGGGTGCCCTAAAGAGGAGTTTGAAGCGAGACCTATTCGGTAAAAGTCCCACACAGCGCGATGATGTGCCCTGATCGCAATATTTTATGGAAAAACCATAAAGTGGCTAGAGCCTCTCACTCACTTGATAATAATAGATATCCATGGAACGACGAGAGGTTGCTTGTCATCTTGTGCTCTATGGGAATTCCAAAATAACAAAAAGGGCAGCTGATGGTAGTACCAGCTATAGAACTGGTAGTGTAGGGAGCGAGCAAACGTAATACCAATCAAGTTGGCAGAGAATAACGCGAACAGTGTTTCTGAACTATTCAAGATTAAAATGAAAAATGGAAATAACCAAAATAATTATTAGCACAGAAACAGTAAGCACCTCCTACTCCTAATTTTGTTCTGATGCCATGATACACCCCGATGAGCGAGGTCCGCACACCTCCGTAAGATCTGAATGTGTAAGGTTAGTCGAAGATAAAAAGCTTCACTTCAATAAAGGCAGGAAAACAAAGGATACCATGAAGTCTTACCTGAACCACATATGATACCCAAACAATAACAAAACCACTAGATGAAATGATAGTAGGGTCAAGTGAAGTCGGGGAGATAAAAAGATCTGAAAAATCGCTATTATGTTTCGCCGTCGATCGCTGCTTCAAACGTCTAGCCCCAATTTGCAGATGTAAAATGACAAAATGAAAACTGAACGAGATTTCTCACCTCTTCAGGCAGAAAGGCGCCAGTTCAACGGTCATCATTGAACAGAAGACTCGACCAAGATCAAAGGAGCGCCGGATATAAGAGACCGGATCATGAATGAGGAACGGAAGTCCAATAAATACCTGTACAAACAATACTCTAACCCAACCCTCACTGGCTATCGGCAAAGTATAGTCAGAATTACGAGTTTAAGGAGAGGAGGGTTTAGGAGCTCGTTGTGTTGGGTATTGACCATAATCGACATTGAAGGTGCGCACAAAAGGGTTGCGGCACATTTCATATAATAATGACACCAGACGCTAATAGTTATAGCCTCAGAAGAAGTCGCTATTTCGTGTCAAAAAGCTGGATCACATCCCCAGGCAAAGGTGTAGAGGGACGAATAAAAGGGCAGCTTTGGGCCAAACGGACCTGATATCCATGATGGGAAGGCTTAGAAACATAGTTTTGTAAGGTTAACCAGTAAGGCCAATTATCCTTACGCTATTCAGCTCAAAAGTATATAAGCCATTTGAAAATGGTGCAAGAATAGAACAGACGCAAACGAAACACTGCACGAGCAGCACAGTCATATGAGATTTATGAGCCGTGTTTCCAGTACGCCGACAGTTCAGGCAGAGGATGAAAAATAGCGGCGGATGGCAAAAAGAACCACATTCATCTTGATGCACACGAAACTTTAAGATAAACAATAAATATTGAACATGAATGTTGCTCAGGCGCCCACTACACTCACCTATACAGAAGACATCCTACTAGCCATTTCTCAGAAATGAAAAAGTTGACCGCCAAATAGAAGAACATCATGGCAATGGGATCATTGAAAAGCGAGAAGAAAAAATGCGAATGATATTCGATAACCAGTTTAAATCACAAAAATACCCACAAAACATATGGGGCGATCTGGAAAATCAGATGGTAGTAATCAGATAGGATAGTATGCATAAAATAATGCAGTCAATTCACCTTATTTGACTTGTAGTACAAACGAAGAACAGCCAACAAATTCAAGAGGTAAAGGCACATGAATATATACTGTGCTGTGCGAATATCTTTGCCACCACTTGTTAAAGCGTGAAGGACACCGTATGTCCATAAATGTCCCGCCGGATACCTTAAAAAAGGCACCCAATACAATGTGTAACTACTGATCAACTGAATCCGAAAAAAGCAAACAACAACTAAATCTACTCAACACCCCACCACTTTAGAACCTAGCCATAGTTGATCGGCAATTATTTCTGGTTGCATGTAATTTTTATATTTTTATGAATGAAAACGATACTTTTAACAACTCACACGACTGGACCGGTGTCGCCTCCGATTTCAGAGTAGTTTCGAATCTGCTTTACCGTATAACACTCCACTTGTTGCATATAAGTTGACCAGTCAATTTCAGTGTCTGAAGTTCCTTGTTTTCAATCCACACTAACTCTGCTATGGATTTTTTTTTCGAAGAACACAAGATGAACACCCGTGAAGCCTGTGAAATATTGAAAAATGCGCTCACTGCTACCAAATATTTTTAAGTAGTCCTCTTCTCATCAGAACAAAATGACGCTTACTTTCAGTAGCATGAGTGACGGTGGAGCCGTGAGTATAGCCCCACCGCAGGCATCACCTGGGCAGGAAATCCCGTCTTCCGTCCGGTTAGTTGTGTACGCTACCGTATCACTCCCTGCTTTACCGGTCTCTACAGGAGCGATTTCTCGTCTCTATCGACCGCAGCCAAGGTTGAAATCAAAAAGGTGTTATTTGGGACGTTTTCTAGGGTAAAGTCTGCTCCTGTACTCACTGCTAAGAAACTTGGCACCTACGAATTCATATTCAGACTTCAGAACTGACGATTTGCAATGGCGGAATGTGTCCTCAAGAAGTCAGCAGATGGAGTAGCGGTTCCCATCACAACATGAGCAGGTGTTCAAAGTAGACCAAGTACTCACATACAAGATATGTAAGGGAACCTACGAGGAGTGCTTCTGCACGTTTGAATCACCGAGATTCATCAGGGAAAACCATTGCAAAAGGAATTTTCCAAGCAAAACCTTTTTCCTCTCATTGGGAACCCTATCGATAATGAGCTCTGCGTATAATGGGATTGGAACAGAAAATGGTCATATTGAAAGATGCGCTGCGGAAATTTCCTGCCCCAGTGTGATGGGAGTAATAAATGCCCATATCAATCGTTTTCTTTGGTTCAGGTGACTCGATTCGTGTCTTATGTGTACACGAAAAGCCAATAAAACTGATTAAAAATTATTCGAAAATGCTCGGAGCGAAGTCACGCACTACTCAAAAAAACGAGTTAAAAGGTAGCAACATTAACGTTCAGAAAAAGCTACTTACATGGGACCTTTTGAATGATGAAGAAGGTTATAACAGCGTCCACGAGGAAAACCGCTGCACTCATCAAAATGAAGCCAGTGTCATTTACAGTGAACAGCAACCGTAGCAGGTTGTCTTTTAAAGACATCTAAAAGCTGTCTTCGGCTTAAATTCCGTCACAAGACAGAAAGACCTAAGCAGAGAGATATTCGATGCACCAAACTTTTCTCTATATTCAGCAGCAATCAGCACGATTTATTATTCAATAAATAACAATTTTCATTCAAGCAAGCACTAGAATATACAGGAATATAGTCAACTGCTATGAAAATAGCACAAGTACCAGTCAATCCGTGAGTGTAATAGTAACAACAATAACTGACAATGACACAAACGCTATCGTCGATAACGATACCGCTTGAACACGAACCACAGTTGGAAGACACCGTTTTGAAATTGACATTTGTAGCATGTTTTATGGCTCTCACTTCCATGCACATTAGTTACGCACTTGAAAGCAATATCTTCATAAGGAGGTCCTGCCTGAAATATATTATATATAAAAAAAATCGAATAGAAAAAGTCAGTTCTATTCAAATTCGGAAGAAAAATGCTTATGTAAAAGCCACAGAGCGCATT